CGCTGAATACTGTTCACGTGTAAAGAACATACAGCAGATACTGTTCCTTACACGTGAGGAAGAGTGCTGTCTAATGCCCCTAGAGATTAAATAATTTGTCCAAACTTACCCTGTTAGGAAACACCTTACAATTTAACCCCTGTCTTTCTGGCCCACCAACCTTTCTCCATGTTACCTTTAACTCAAAATCAGAATCAGATTAAAGGATGTGATGCCAGGGGCTCAGAGACAGCTCAGCTGGTGATGTACTTGTCTGCAAGCATGAGGACCTGGGCCTCACACACAGAATCCATATTAAAAAGCCAGGTATGGCTCTTAGCAACAGGAAGGCCTTAATGATTGTGTAGGCCTCTTCAGCCCTTGCCCAAGCCTCTGAATAAAGTGTTTTAAACCCTCCCACACACACACAAACAAACAAAAAGCCAAGCATGGCAGCATGCACTTGCAATCCCAGTGCTGAGGCTGGGGTCACCCTAGCTTATTGACAAGTTCCGTGCCAGGGAGAAGCCTTGTCTCTCAATAAAAGCTGTCCTCTGGACTCTACACATGTGTGCATTTGTACCTGCACACATGGATATGCACACAAACATGACCCTGAACTAACCAGAATGTAGGGGAAATGGGCAGTTTTGACTAATATTCTGATTAACAGACATAACTGTAGTGTTAACTCCTTGAAAAGCCTTCTTGTAGTCATGCGTTCTCCGTCCGCCTTCATCAGCCTGGTATCAGGTAAAGTTGCCTTGATGACTCAAGACCTTGTATGCCTTAGAACCACCACCACCACCACCACCACCACCAGCAGCAGCAGCAGCAGCAGCAGCAGCAGCAGCAGCAGCAGCAGCAGGCTTTAATGAGAAAAACAGGAAAGTGCAGATACACAATGCTAAAGATCAGCTTGAATGTGTAGACAGCTCAATTGCATTATAATCCAAGCACGTTTTAACCATTTAACTTTTCTTTTTAAAAATCACATCTGTTTGTTTGTTTCTGAGGGGCATGAGAATGTGCTGTGACGTGTGTAGAATTCAGAGGGCAAGTTGTAAGAATCATTTCTGTCCTTCCACCACATGGATCCTGGGGAATAACCCAGGTCATCAGGCTTGCCTGCACGTGCAAATAAAGGCTCAGGAAAGACTCCCCAAGCCATCTCACCGGCCCCTCCTTTTTCTGCAATCAGAATGGAAAAGGGGGTCCTGAAAGTAGGGCTAATCAAACAGATGGGACTCAAATAAATCAAACTCACTCCAGTTTTTGCACGTAGCTAACAAGTTTCATTGAAAGTAACCGTTTCTCTCGTTGTATGATTTGGTCAATCACAAAGGATGAAGCTTCCCCCGATCCCTCGCAGGGCTGTTAACCCGTCATCAGGGGGAGAATCGAGCTGTGTAATTACCATTTGAGACACGAGTCATCACTTGCAGGGCCCAGACCTGGGTGACTCTATAAAAGGAGCTCAAGGTCCAGGTGTAAAAGTGCACTGTCTGCCATCCCTGGGCTGATACAATCACCAAGCGACCAAGAGGAGATGAAGGTGCTGCCTGCCTCTGGCCTGGCTGTCCTTGTCACGGCTTTAAAGTTTGCCACTGCAGCCCCCCTATTTGCAGCCACCCCTAGGACCTCCAGGAGCAACTACCACCTTGCACAGGTTTGTGACTCTCTGCTCCATTCCCTCTTCCCTCTGCTAGCCCAGAACACCCAACAGGGCATAATGAGAAAGCCAACAAAAATTATCATTTCTGAAAACATTTGCAACTCCACGGAAGCCTGATGAGCCATGCTGTCTGAGATTGGTGTGTGTGGCGCTCTTCAGGTGCACGCGTTACATGCTGAATTAACAGCTGAATAAATATCTGGGTAGGGCTTGAGTGAGGTCACAACACACAAAAATAAAAAGCAAGTGTTTGAGGAAAAAATAAGATCAGAAATATAAAGACTGGGGCAACCTGTGAATTTAATTCTGAGTGTTTAATAGCCACAAGGAAAAAGTTTCCTTAGGTTCACGTGTTGAAAGCTGGCTTTGACCCTCAAGCTAACCTGGGTCAGAAGACAAGCCAGGCTTCCTCCTCATTTGGGGATCTTTCCCCCTTAGTCTGTGTTTCTCCACAGCCCTTACCTCAGCTTCACTTTCTGCTTATGTCTCTCCCATCTGACCGTGATATGAAGGAACTGATACAACCAATCGTGTAAATTTCGTAACGATTTTATGGCTGAAAAATCATCCCAAATATTGAGAAGTCAGTTGAAGGAAGAAATGTGGAAATGGACTTCTAGGACAGGATTGCCAATAGCGATAGTGAAAAGTGTTTGTAGGTGTGCTGGCTGGGCCGAGAGTCCATGAAACTATAGCATGCATGTGATTCCATCTCTGCTTGGGGCTACGGTCCTCATGTCCAGCTGTACACACGGCCGGCTCGGGCCTAAGGGCTAGCGGTCTGTCACAGAAGCACACTAGACTGTCCTCACCAGTTGTTTTGCATGCACCCATGCCAGCTGATCAGTTTCTTCTACACGAGAGATGACAGGGAGCATTTGAAGCAGCAGTCCTATGGATAAATAAGCAAGTTCAGGTCAGCAGCAGATGCTGCTTCCACAGAAGATGCCAACATCAGCAGTAGATGCCCACGTCAACAATAGATGTCTACTTGCACAGAAGGTGCCAATATCAGCAGCAGGTGCCCACATGAGCAAAACTTTCTTTGGCCAGAGCCCATTTGTACATGAATTCAATTCAAAGTAGTACTAAAATTATAAATTATAATTTGCTGATACCCTTGTTGGTCTTTTTCTCCAAATATAGGATCCCCCTCCAGACTCAGGCTTCTCTAATTCAGAAACTATAAAGTTTTTGTGACACCCTCTTCCTGACACACACATGAAAGCCTGGTACTCAATGGATCTGAGCTGGTGGGAGGCTGTGATTCTAGTCCAGGGTTTGGGCAAGTGCCGGCCAGACCATTGAATTACAGGCTCTTGTGTTATCATGGTTGTGTATGGTTTGCAGAACCAAAAATAGTGACCACTGCTCTTTACACAGAGAATACAATGGCCCTACTCTAAAGAACACTAAGGTCAGAAAGTGATGGTGATGCCATCTTTGATAGTCTGACCAGTCAGGGTTCAGCTGGGGAGTGGGGGTCATGTTTCAAAAGAATGGTGTGGCTGGGCTGCTGGGGACTGTTAGAATGTCCGTATTTCTTTCTCCCTAAGTCAGTCCTCTTTGGTCTCTGTTATGCCCTTGGGATCATGAAAACTTGTTTATACCTTGTTATCTTCTGTAGCGGTCTCAGGCATCCGCTCTGGAAAGAACATTTTCTTTAGAAGGCTAAAAAGATGAGAACAGATCTTGCATGTTAAGCCAGAAACTAGAAACAACTTGTGTACCATCTTTAGCTTACAGAAATATCCACCAGCCTTGTGAGATTAGAGAGTCCGACAAGCAGTTTACACTCTGGCTGGCCACGTTGTGGGGCAGCAGGAGGGAAGAGAACAAGGCAAAGCCTTTGCTCTCATGGCACTGGGAGGGCAGGTAAGAGGGCACAGTGAGGAGGCACATGAGTCACTCAAGTTCACAAGCTTCTTTTAGAAAGTGGGCAGAGATACCGGAAAGAGATAGAGGCTCCTGGGGCTGTGGGCACTCGGGAAGCCTCGCAGAGACGGCCACATCTGGAGTGGACCTGAATTGCAGAAAGAGCTTGCCCTGAAAAACCCTGGAGACACAGCAGGGTGAAAACACATCCTCTAGTGCAGGAGTCTGGCACAGAGGAGTGTCGGGTACAGTCACCACGTGGCTAGAGCTAAGAAAACATGGAAGGGGTCACTGGGTCACGGGTGGCTAGGAGGTATCTCCCACACTGCCCTTTTCTTTCTAAATCACTAGCTAAGAAATCATAACAGCAGACACTTCTGTCCCCAAGCCCGAAGACACAAACAGCTGCACTTGAGAGCTCAAACAGTTCTTATTTAATTTATTCAACATCCAGTTGTATCCTTAAATTCTGATTTCTTCATCTGATTGGGGCTTTAACAGTGATAGAGTCAGGGTATAGAGTATGGAGGATCTGGGGATACAGCTCAATAGTAGAGCACTTGCCTAACATGCCTGAGGGTCTTGGTTCAATACACACACACACACACACACACACACACACCCCTATGGAATAATGACCAAGTGCCTGCATCTTCCGCTAATCAAGTTTTTTTTAGGAAACTTGCTGGCTTTTTAAAATCGTGCAGATGTTTCTTGGTTTACAATGGTGTAGTATCCCGATAACCTCATCACAGGTTCAAAATACCATGAGTCAAACAGCTTCCCAAAGCCATTGTTTAATGACACAGCAGCTCATTACTGTGGAGCTGGGGGCTGTGGTTCATGGCTGCGGCTTCGGAAGACAGAGAGAGAGAGCCTCACCGCCGGCCTCAGAAAGACCAGAGGCAAAAATTGCCGTGTGGTTTTTACTGAGAGAGCATCACTTTCACGCCATCATTAAGTCAGAATCATTAAGTCAGCCTATTGTAACGTGGGAAACACTTGGTGGTATTGACATAACATTTAAAATAAGCTTTAAATTGTCTCTAAAGGAGTCTTTCTCATTTACCACAGGGTTACGAATAACTAAACCATTCAAATCAAACTCCTAGACTCTGGAAGCCGTTGATAATGCTTTCTTTTCAGGGATAAATATTTCTAATTGTTATTATCTTTAAATATTGGCTTCTACTTTTCTCACTAATGTTATATCATAAAAACATTTGGCTTTTATACTCTTTCCATGACTTTATTTTTAAGGACTCACAAACAGTGGCTAAAGAGTTGGCTCAGAATTCAGTTCCCAACACCCACAGCATCCAATGCCCTCTTATGACCTCTACAGACCCCTGTATTCACTCGGGAACACGCACACACACATAAAATTAAATATATATATTTATATTTAAAATACATTAATTCACCAAAATCACAAATATTTCTGAATTTTTGCAAGTTACCTTTTCTCTACCCACTCCCTTTGCTAAAGAAACATGTTGTTATCCTCACATTGGTGTGATCAGTAGATGAGACAGGTGGGAAGGCAGGAGCTGGCAAGAAAGCTAAAGGGAGGTTCAAAGAATCGTGCGAGCATGTTTGTAGTGCAGCCTGCACTTGAACCTATCATCTTTCAGACAGCATCAAAGTGTTACAAATCTCCTTCGATGCGTCTTAGACAGAAATAAAGGAAATGTTGGAGAAAGCTTACCTTGGCCGTTACTCCAACCAGTTACACTCAGGAGGGATATTTCTAAATGCCCTAAGATGTTGGCAGGAACAGTTGCTCTTAGCCTCCATGACTTTTATCCATCAAACACTTGAAAAGAAGCCGGTAGAGGTCTCCTTGGAGAAAATGCTAAGGCTTAGTGATCTAATAGCAGGGGAGACAGAGGAGGTGCTGGGCAGCTGGGGAGACTCCAGTAAGTCCAGAAGACTTTGACCAAGGGACAGCATCAAGGTGGTGGCCTGAAAGACAGGACAGTTCTAAATCTACCTGCACGTGCCAAATGGAACATATTTACTCCAGTACAGATGCCAAAGCCTTGTCAATGGCCCTGGCAAGAAAGTCCCCAGAATGTCAGTCTCTCCCTAACTTAGAACATTTGGCAGTCCTCCAAAGATGTCGCTGCACTGACGAGTGTTTGTTCTTTTTTAAGTAGGAGTAGCTTCTGATTTTATGTCATTAAAACTGACTATTGTACTCCCATCTACTGAGTTTAGCCTTAAACTTTTAAAGCTATAGGCTTCGTATCTGATGTACATTTTTTAAAGAAAAAGAAAAACATTTTATTGTAAAAAAAAAAATTGTGCAGATTAATAGCAAAAAAATTTATAAAAACTAATCAAAAACGAAATGCCCCAAATTCCATCATCAACGTCCAAACACCGTTAACAGTTTAGTCTGTACTTTTCAAATGAACTGATGTCACTCAGGGTGAGACTTTGGACAAGGAGCTGGTTTGGGTTTCAGATTTGTTTAGATCTTGAGGGTTTTTTGTTTGTTTGTTTGTTTGGTTGGTTGGTTGGTTGGTTTGGTTTGGTTTGGTTTTTTACTTTTTATTCATTCTTTGAGAATTTCATACAAGCAATATATTTCAACCATATTTACCTCGACCTTTAGCCTCTTGCAGACCCTATCCACACAGCCCACTCCAGCAATACATTCCCTCTTTTTAAATAAAAAGCCCACTGAGTCACTTGATACTCTCATGGCTGGAGCCAGGCCTGGAAGCATGGATGGCCTGCCGCGGACCACACCACTCAGAGCTCAGACTCCCTCTCCTCTGCTAGGGGCTGGGGTGTGCGAGTGTGGGGGTGGTCCCTCATGTACCCTTCCCCCATAAGATCCTGTTATCATGTTAAATGTTAGCATTGGGAGGGGGCACTTTTTGCATTGATTTGGGGGAGGTTGCCCAGTGTTTGTAAACATATGCTGTTTATCTTGATTCCTGGGTCTTTAGCAAGCTTCTCACTGGTTTCCCCAAGTCCTAGTCTGTGACTGTGCCATTTTAACAGTAGGAGTAATATGGTCTTTGCCCAATTTATCATGAGCATCTCCTTCTATGATCACATCTCAAGACACAGACATCACAATGTCGAGTACAGCACACTCTTCAACAAGGGAAGAAAGTGCTTGAAACTGAAACCATCTCAGAAGTGCAGAGCATCTGGTCTTAGACACAGTTCTCTATTCACCAAGGAGTGTAAATGAGACATTAGTTCAAGCTGCCACAGCAGCACCTGGCACACAAACAGGAAGCCCTCAAAGCAGCTTCATCCTAAAACAAACAAACAAACAACACATAAAGTTCCTGAGCACAGATGGGGGCGGGCAAAGATCTCCCCAGCCAACATGGAAGGCCTGTCCTCTTTCCTCATAGACACACACCTTAGCTAAACTTAGCTAACCAGAAAGTCTGTGTGTGCAGATGAAACTTGATCCTGTGGGGAGGGAGTTACTACTCTTCTATTTATTCCTTGAGGATTTCATACACGTATGCAATGTGTTTTGACCATATTCATCCCCTCTTCCCTCCATCAACTCCTCCTGGGTTCTTGCCCAATCTCACTCCAAATTTCATGTGTTCTCTCTCTCTCTCTCTCTCTCTCTCTCTCTCTCTCTCTCAATTTGAATCTAATTGGTATCACCCATATTCACAAAGGCACAGGGCATCCACTGGAACGTGGTCAACCTAACAGGAGGCCTACCTCTAAAGAAAACGGCCCTCCCTTAGCAGCCATCCCTGGTCAGTGCCTCAGCTGGGGAAGGGGTTCATCTGCTCCTCCTGTATCCATGCTAGAATGGTGACCGGCTTGATTTTGTGCAGTCACAGCTATCACAGCAGTGGTCCTGTTATGTCCAGAAGACACTTTTTCTACTTACTCTTCCTTAGACTCTGTCCTTTACAATCTTTCCACCTTCTGTTCCATAATGTTCCCTGAGCCTCATAGAGAGATGCAAGAAGCCTAATAATTTATGGCTTGTTTTCTTTGCCTCCGTGGGCCTCAAACCTGTTTCAGGTCACCCCACAACACACCAAAACTAGTTAAAGCCTTTCAGCCTAAACCAGGCTGTGGTGGCGTACTCCTTTAATCCCAGCACTCTGGAGGCAGAAGCAAGCAAATCTCTGTGAGTTCAAGGCCAACCTGGTCTACAGAGCCAGTTCCAGGACAGCCAGGGCTACAAAGAGAAACCCTGTCTCAAAAAAAAAAACCAAAAAAGAAAAAGGAACCAACATCAACCTGTGGTCTACCATATGTGCCCACACAAAAACAAGTGCACTTGCATGGACATATATACTCAAAACCTGTAGGGGGGAGAAAGAAAAATAAGAGTGTACTAGCCTCAGTACTCAAAGGTAATCATTAATAATTTTGTACCCTAAGTACCATCTATACAAATATGTCTACTTTTTGTTTGGTTGGTTGGTTGGTTGGATTTTTTGCTTTTGGGTTTGGGTTTTTGGTTTTTGGATTTGTTTGTTTGCTGTTGCTGCTGTAGCCCTGGATGTCCTGACACCTTTGTAGATCAGGCTGGCCTCGAATTCACAGAGATCTGCCTGCCTCTGCCTCCCAAGTACTGAGATTAAAGGCATGTGCCAGCACCACCCAGCATCTACATTTTTTTAAATAAAAATATATACCCTATTTTTATATCAAAAATATTATCCCCTATCTTGGCTTAGTATGAGTGTTCTCCAACCACACTATGGACATGTCAGCCTGCCTCTCCGTTTCAGGCATATCTTGACAAGTATTATACAAAGAAAGGAGGCCCCCAGGCTGGTGAGATGGTGGCAAGAGAAAGCAATCCCATGATCAGGAAGATTAAGGAGCTACAAACTTTCTTTGGCCTCCAAGTCACTGGGAAGTTGGACCGGAAGACAATGGATGTGATCAAGAGGCCTCGCTGTGGAGTCCCTGATGTGGCTAACTACCGCCTCTTCCCAGGTGAACCCAAATGGAAAAAAAATATTCTGACATACAGGTAATGAGAATGAGTCTTTCCCAATTCAAAGAGAAAGACACACCTCACCTCTTCTTTCCTTTCCAAGATCTCTTTCTTCTGATCTGTATGAAAGGCAGAATTCTCCAACAGCTGTAAGAAAGAACAGGAGCTCTCTAGTTCTTTGTTTGAAAACTCTAATCCAGGATCACTGTCTACCTTCCCCATTAGAGAGCCAACCACCTGGGAAGAACTCGGTAATAGCTTAAAATTAAGTAACCCAGGTGGGACTGGAGTCTTTTAATCTGGGCAGCTGGGCTAGGCTAGTCAGCCAGCTCTAAGCCAGATGAGAGACCATCTCAGAAAAACAAGATGGTTGTCTCCTGAAGAACAACACTCAAGATTGGCCTCAAGCCTACACACACACACACACACACACACACACACACACACACACACATACACACGCACACACACACTCACTCACACTCACACTCACACTCACACCAAAAACTACTCTAATAAAATTCACTCATTTATTCTACAAATCATTTGCTGATGATTTTTGGCTATTATAGGCACTCAGTTTATGGAGTATAAAGGGGAATAGATCCTCTTTCTCTCTTTCTAGTCTTTAAGGGGAGATGGGCATGCAAAGGGGGGGAAGGTGACCCCACAATGGGCATTGAGGCAGCAGTGAAGGGAGCTATCAAGTTGTCCAGTCCATGGGGCAGTGGCACGTGACCCTGATTTGAAGGTGGTTGCAGCTCCAAGCCTTCGTTACCCTGTCACAGTCCTGGAACTGCCTCCTTTTCTGGCATCTTCCTGTTTAGACCAAGGAGGCCTACCCCAAAAGGAACTTTTGTCACTTCCTCCTTGGACTTTATATTGACAACAAATTTCCTACTCTGGCTTCCTTGATGCACTCCCAGGGTTCATTCACTGGTTATTTCAGTCTAACCCTCTCCTCAGCCTCAGCAGGTCTGAAGGAGATGGGTGAGGCTGACACATTCCAGGCTCACACAGGCTTAGTGGCCGTAGCTTTCGGTGGCTCTGTGCCGGGGTTTTCCGCCATTTCCAAGCAGAAACCTCACCAACATGCTTAGTTAAACCATCGTGTTGAGTGACACTTCAATCCCAACACCCCAGTACACTACTGAAACTGTACTGGAGGGCCCAGCAGGGGGCAGAAGAGGGAACTGAGGCTGGGGAGACAGCCTGAGCAGTAGGAACCATCTATTGAGGAAGCCAGGATCTGGACTGGGTTACAGGATCAGCAGATCTGGGTGGCATGTGGAGATGAGGAAGGGCTGAGCTTTTGTGATCTTCAGAGGGTTGGAGTAGAACAGCCTCCTAACCACTCTCAGGAGCCAACTACAACGGCAGGAACTCTGGGTTCTGTTATTGAGCTTCCAAGAACCTCCTGTGCGTGTTGATAAGGAGTGACTATAATCAACATTGTAAATGCTCAATTAAATTATATTTAAAACAAACATAAGGAAAACTATTCCTTCCTACTTTCACACTTTATGATCAGGTAGACTCGCAGGCTTATCCACACGGTGTCTGTTTTCACTTGGATTTTTACCTGGTTGCTTTCCACACTACACAATGGCTGTTGCCAGTGTGGCATCCCTCACAGTAGGTCACGATTCACAGTACAGAAACCAGCAAGCCACAGGCCACGGTATGTTCCCTTTTGACGCTGGCTGTTAAACTGCCCTGGCTACCCCTGTGAAAGGAGAATGTGGCGAGCATCTTGTTAACCGCTGTTAGACTATCCATCCACATGGTGTCGCTCAGAACAAAGAAATCAAAGCAGCAGGGTGGCCTGTTAAAGCTACCACAGTCTGAGGAAAAAAAAACTAGAGCTAACACCTCAAAAAAGAAAGAAAAAGAGAGAAAGTAAGAAAAAGAGGGAGGGAGGAAGGGAGGGAGGGAGGGAGAAAGAAAGAAAGAAAGAAAGAAAGAAAGAAAGAAAGAAAGAAAGAAATTTTATGAAGTCTTTCTCATTTTTCTCAACTGTGTCCTAGAATCTTAGGCTGTGGATATCATGACACTTGGAGATGTGTAATATTCTGTGATAAATAATGCAGCCCACAACTCTCAACACCTAACCATTCTCAATTACAGACAAGCCCCTGGCACCAGCACGCCTCTCCAAGACCCTAGAGGCTGTCTCGATACTGTGCAGTTCCTGGATGTCAGAATAACATCTTGAAACAAACACCAGATGATTAAAAATGAAAAAGCACCGCAGGGCGTTCGTGTGCACGAGCTTTGCGGAAAGGCAGAAGTGGACTAGGTTCTTGACTAACCACAAAACGCAGGCCTACGCAGGCCTTGATCACCATCATTACCAGCCTCCCCGGGCTTGGGAGGGCCAGATAACACACCACATTAAAAGATGCTTAGAACCCTGTCTACCACAGAGCACATCTTCAAAGAGCATTGCCTACACTTAGCATCAGCTCGTGGTTGGTTTTCATGTAGACCCTGGGTCAGAATTTTCTCCATTTCCTCCTCTTCTCTGGCATTATTCTTTTCCCCACCTTATCTTGGCTGATGCAGCTTTCACCATCAACTCAAGAAGGCAGTTGATTTGCTTATAATTGGAGGGGATGACAAGGTACTGTCTAAGCCGGTCCTAAACCATAGGTTTGCCTGGCAAAGGGGTGTGCTGTATTTTGGACATTAACTAGTCCAGATCTGAGCAATTTTCTATTCTCTCTTTTGACCCTTCTTTTGAGGGCTCTGGGTTTTTGGCCATGTATGCTGCATGAGAATAATCTAAGATAATCTCAGATACAGGTTTCAGGACTAGACTGGCCCATTACACAGGTTAGTGGGCAGTTGTTGTGGATCCTTAAGTTGGAAAGCCCCTGAGTATCCTTAAGCGGCCTTTGTTCTTCTACTTGCCAAGTCCGTCCCTAAGACACAGAGCCAAAGCTAGAGAAAAAGGGCCTGGCCCAGCCCTGTCTCCAAACACTGAGCAACTTGTGCCTTCTCGTTTTGAGGCCATTATTCCAGCCCAGCCCAAGTCCCAGGTGAAATTCTCTCCCTGCCTTTCTTTTTTTTTTTTTTCTGCTGGCAGAACCCTGAGCCTCTGAGTTTCAGAGCAGAGGAAACCACGAGATCTACCAACTCTGTTTCCACACACGTTGAGCCCGAAAAACAGCTCTGCTTTCCTATGTTGTCCCACGGGGGCCTTTTCCCAGCCCCAGCGAGCACTGTTTCTAGGATAGCACATTCTCTTTAAGGCTGGAGAGATGGTTCAGCAGTGACTGCTTTTTGGCAGAGGACCCAGGTTCAGTTCTCAGTACCCACAACCAGCTGTAACTCCAGTTCCAGGGGAATCTGTCCCCCTTCTGGCTTTCATGAGCACGGCACACACAGAACATGCAGGCAAAACACCATCACACGCAAAATTAAAATAAACTTTTTTAAAGTAACTTTTTAATTTAAATTTAAAAGCTCTCTGTCTCTGTGTTTCTCTCTCTGTCTCTCTCACACACATACACACTCCACTCCCTAACCCTGGGGAAGGCCAATTGACCTTTGATAGAGAATTTATAGCAAAACCTCAAATACCAAGGAAAACTACATTTTTATTTAGAATCCTGGGTTGCCTCTGCCTTCTGGATCTCTCCTTATTTCCCGTGTGCTGTGAAACAAGTCCAGATGTCTCAAAGAGGGCAAGGACTTCTGATTCAGAAGAAAAAAAAAAAAAAAGGATAACCTAGGGGAACCAGGGCAACATCCCTCCCTCTTCCCCGTCCCCCTCCCCCTCCCCCTGTGTGGGAACAGTCACTAAAACATTAACATTTGCTTTTCCTTTGTCCAGAGTCTCCAAGTACACACCTTCCATGAGTCCCATGGAGGTGGACAAGGCGGTAGGGATGGCCCTGCACGCCTGGAGTACGGCCGTCCCTCTGAGCTTCGTTAGAATAAACTCGGGGGAAGCGGATATCATGATATCTTTTGAAACCGGAGGTATTGTGCTGTTTCTTGGGTTCTATCCCCAGTGGCGAGGAGAACTGCCCCGACGACAGACTTACGGAGTGACCGCGCAGGGCTCCATCACGCAGCGTTAGGGTGGGCGGAGGCCGAGAAGATACAACAGGGAATCTTAGCATTGTTTGTCACTGGTAGCCTCCACCGGGGACAGACTCACTGAGGTGCACCTTCACGGTAGCTTTGCCCCATGATAGGACAAACTCTGTCGGCAATCCCACGGCCTAGAGGGCAGCTGACTCCGATGCTTCCAGCAACAATTACCCTGCGGTAGCCCCTGTACGCCACGCCCACCCCAACCCCTACACACACAAAATAGTTCCAGAGGTAGCCTTCGGGTCTCACCCATGCTTGAACACTAGGTTCGAGACGTGTGTGGGGAGTTGCCTCTGTATCTCCCTACCCACACACCCTGCTACGGGTAGAACACGACGTTGAAGATGATGGGTAAAGCTCTGAGACCCTTGCAGAAAAACACAAGCAGGAAGTAGGTGAAAGCAGAGAACCCTGAAGTTCTCTCCTCGGCTTCGGACGGTGAGGCCGAAGTGTTGAGAAGGTAGGAAGAGGAGATTCAGAGAGCAGTGAAATGGCTGTCAGAAATGGCCCTTGAGTGGAATCTGGCCTTTGGCCGGTCCTGCTCCTGTCAGGCATCCAAGGACACGTGGTGAAATGGCAGGACATGGTACCTCAAGGCAGGTTTAGGGGATATAGAGTTGACTCTCTGTATTACACACTGGTGTTCTGTGCCCTAGCACAAAGGCCTGGAAACCAGGCAGCCACCTCAAGTCCTCAGAACATGCAGTCCATGACGAAACTGCATCACAGTTTATTTTGACCTGAGAAGTACCGTGTTGAATTTGAGAGTGTTGGCTTTAAAAACAATAAACAGGGCTAGTGAGAGCACGGCCAGGGAAGCAGCTGCCGCCAAACCTGATACCCCGGTTCCACGCCAGGAGCCTGCGTGGTGGAAGGAGAGCCGGCTCCCATAAGCTGCTGTTTGGTCTCCACGGAAGAGTGAGTGCACCCACTCACATGCACACATGCAAAGGAAACAAATCTAGAACCAATGAATGAACCAGTAAGATGAAATACAAATACAGGGAGCACCCGCTCACATACACACAAACAAAGGAAATAGATTTAGAACCGATGAACGAATGAATAAAATGAAATAGGAATACAAATTTTAAGTGAACAAAAACCGGGGCAGTGTCACCGGAATTCCGAACAGCAGCTGCTGCCACATTCTTCGAATGGTCTCTTCTTTCTTTCCTGTTGAATTCGTAACACTGGTCACGCTAAATGAAGTCCTAGGTGCTAAGAGTCTCCAGACTGCCTTTACCTTTACATGTGCAGGCATATCAGAATTACAAAGACGTTTTCTTTTGATTTGTTGACACTTAAATTATACTGCACAATTACGATGTGATGCACATTCGGTTTACTAAAACCCTCTTAAAGGAACCAGATTTTGAATTATCTTTCTGCCAACAGGTTCATATTTTACTCAGTGGACCAGGTTGCTATCAAATCTCCCCTCAGTTCTTTCTCCTGTGTAATCTGTGTGTGGTAGTCTACCATATACTGTGTGCTGAGATAAAAACCATTACAACAAAGTTGGCACTGCCTCCTTTGAAGTACAAAATAACCCTTTTTGTTTTTCAACTCCTTAACATAGGACCATAGACATCTTATTAATATACTATTTACTATTAATATGCTTAATATTATATTTATATTCTAAATTACAAATATATATAAATACAATGCAAACAATAAATTATATATTAATATAATATGGTTTTGTTATATTTCTGTTATACTTAATAGTAATATATAATATATTATATTATCATGTATTATTATATTACATATGCTCTATGATAACTATAATAATGCATAATTAATATATTTATAATACTGACATTAATATTTTAATTAATATTAAGGGCAGAGAGATGGCTTGGCAGTTAAGGCCACTTGCTCTGCTGTAACTCCAGCTCCAGGGAGATCTGTTGCCCTCCTCTGACCTCCTGGGGCACTGCGCTCATGTGCAATACTCCCACAGGAACACACACACACACATATACATAGTTAAAAATAGATCTTTAAAAGATGAGTATTGAAAAGTGCATTTAAGGGTCAATGAGAATGTTGCCCACCTTTTTTGACACCTCCCCCAAATTTACTAGGCCTTAATCCAATTAATATTTTCTACTTAGACCATGGGGATTCCTACCCATTTGATGGGCCTCGAGGGACTCTGGCCCATGCATTTGCACCCGGAGAAGGCCTGGGAGGAGACACACATTTCGACAATGCTGAGAAGTGGACTATGGGAATGAATGGTATATATGCACAATTCACCATAACCTGGAAAATATTGTACCTTCTTCTGGGCCTCCATCATGAAACCTTGAGGTTCAACGTCCCAAGCCACCCTTTAACTAGGGGGGCTGGCTAGGAAAAACAAGTAAGCCAAAAATCCAGAAGGGAACCCCACAGGGGATCAGACCTCCCGAGATGATGCTATAGCCTTGCCTGCTCTCTGTTTCTTAGCATTTAAACTACAGAACCAGGCCCTTCCCAATGCAAATCTTGCTTTTTACTCAGGCATACTAGATTCAGGGCTCCTTACCTGTATGTGGAAATCGACTTTCTTCAGAAATGACCCCAGGAAATGAATCTAAGAAGTACGATGGGGGAGGGTGCAAACTTTCCAGAATGCTATGTGGGTCATCTAGAAATCTTCCGTACAAAACATGTGACTGAAAAGAGGAAGCTGGCATACCCACCCACACACTTGAATATAGTCATTAGAATTCCAGCTCTGATGGCATTTAAATTGAAATCTCAATTCCTGGTTCCACCAATTGTTAACTGTAACCATAGGTAAATTATTTCAAGTCTTTGAACCTAGTTTCCTCATGGCATTGATTAAAATGTTAAATGTGTACAACTTAGCTGTAAGAAAACAGATTTATTTTTAAGTGGTAAGGCAATCTTTTTATAACTGAATTCAGCTTTATGTGTTGTCCTTAATCTACCTATAGCAAAAGATAATTTGATCTCGTTGTATTAAGTTCAATTTCTATTGAGTGATTTTTTTTTATTAAAATAATTATAGTACAGAAGGGGTATAGGTTGTAATAGCAGAAAGCAATTCAACTATTCAACTCTTTAGTCAATGCCACCACTGTGCATGGCCTTTTGTTACCCCTCTAGCGTGCATCACTGACAACTGGAAGCGAATTGTTTTACATTCCCCTTTCTGCGCCATGCCCCAAAAGGGCGAAGGGTTGATCTAAAATAGACTGAGGTCAGAAAAGTCAGGTCCTAGAATAGCACCAACCTCTGAAGCCAGTTGTGGAAAGGAGAGAGAACGGATATGCGCATAAGTTCTCCCGTAAGACAAGAGAATGAAAACAACAACAACAAAAAAAAAACCTGTGTTGATGCTTTCTCTCTCATGTTGTCTAGGGTTCAACTTATTCACTGTCGCTGCTCATGAATTTGGCCATGCTCTGGGCCTGGGCCATTCTACAGACCCATCGGCACTGATGTACCCAACATATAAGTACCAGAACCCCTATAGGTTTCATCTCCCCAAGGATGATGTGAAAGGGATACAAGCTTTATACGGTATGCTCTCTTCACCATCTCTAACCCTGAAAGTGACAAGCATTGGGTCTCCAAGTTAGAAAAAGTGGGCTTTTCCAGGAGCTACTTGCCTAGATAAAGATGACTAGTGACCCCACCACAGCCCTGTTTGCTCGTAAAGAGCTTATGTACCAGTTAATTGCATTTCATCTTTCCTGAAATGCTTTTACATCTTCTTTTCAGAGCATTCTGGTTATGAAACAACAACAACAACAACAAAAAAAAAAAAAAAAAAAAAGGTCCATGTGCCGAATTTTCCAAAGCAAATAAAAATGCATGCATTGGAAGATAGAGGATGGTGATTATATTTTATAGTTAACACACACACATTTATAGATAAGTGGTCTCAGCTCCCTAAAAATAGCAATAATGATGCTAATAACTCTACCACTCTACTATATAGACAATCTGATGCTTATGACACAACACGACACTTGCCATCCAAGCCCTTTTCACGGCAAGTCATAACTGAGAGTTCTGAAGGTTAAAGGCAGTAGGGGTCCTAAGACTTTGGGGGGAGGAGGTTCGAGACAGTGTTTCTCTGCTCAGCCTTGGCTGTCCTGGATTCTCCTTGTATCTTAAGGCATTTTAGCTTTCAAATTAATTATGTGTAACAATAAAATAGCAGCCACCTCTTATATAATATCTTCATTAATTCTTTGAGAAATTCCACATATGTATGCAATGCCTTTTGTTCATGGTCACTTCTCGCTCCTATGCCTAGTCACGTGGGCTCCTATAGGTCCCTCCCAACTCCGTGCCATCTTTCTTTACAACCCACTAAGTTCCGTTTGCATTGCCTATATACTGGAACATATTTGGCCTAGTAAAGTCAATGCTCATAGACAAGACTGACTTTTAATAGTTAAGTACTTAACTATTAAATAATTATACTTAATACTAATGCTTAAAATATTACTTAAGTCTCACACGATATTCACAGGTGGATCTTACTATACCTCTCTCAATGTAGCCACGGCTTTAGAAAGTTAAATTATTTGTTTCATATCACACAGCTAACAGCTGGAGATGCTGAGATTTGAACCCAGGTCTGCCTGCCATTGATAGCCAACTTCCTAAGACATTGATATTTGCATTGGGAATGTGTACAGGCTTCTAGAGTTCTCAAGAGTGGAAGTGTACATGCTCTGAGTTGCTGGCATCATTTTACATTTTGAATCCTAGGACCCCGGAAAACATTCCCAGGAAAGCCCACCCTGCCCCATATCCCACATAAGCCCTCTATCCCCGACCTCTGTGACTCCAGCTCATCCTTTGATGCGGTGACGATGTTGGGAAAGGAGCTTCTGTTCTTCAAGGATAGGTAAGGCCAAGATGCCCTGAGGCGTGAACCCATTGCCAAAGAACACCATTGCCTCAATGGCTGAAGCTTATGCAGAAATGCTGCTGTCACTTTGAGCGGCAGGAGGGTGGGCAGCGGGGTCTTAGGGGACACACAGTTGCACAAACAATTGTGGGTTTGGTCTGGGTGCCTTGCTGAGTGCTTTCCAAACAGCTGAAGTATTTATTCCAATTGCTCTGATGGGAGAGATTAGAATTCCCAATGGAGAAGAAATAAAGAAAGTAGTTAAAAGATAGCAATTTGGTTTCCCTAGGCATCAGCCCAAGTGTATCGGGCAACTGTTTGTTATTATGTGCCTAGGGAGGGCTCATTCGATAGTTGTGACAATTGGCTAGCTAGACAGATGAGTGGATGGGTGAATACATGTATGCATGAATGGAAAGCTGAGGATGGATGGGTGGATGGACGGACGGATGGATGGATGGGTGATCAAGTAGATACATGCATAGGTAGGTAGTTCTATTGAAAAGTTCCTCTCAAACTCCTCAATTTCAAGGCCTCCAGGATTATCAGTGTCAGCCAGCTGTCATCATAGATATCTTCTGGCCTTATACTCTGGCTTCTGAGCGAGTCTGACAGTTGTCCTCATGATACCTCTGTGATTCCATGGAAGAAAATAGAAACAGCAACATTCACCCATATTCCTTGCTGAAGAGGAAATTTCATGGTACCAGGAATATATGTGTAAACTTTTTTCTTCATTGTGAAAGTGTTCGTATAGTCCACACTGGGTACCAAGAACTGTCGTACTGTCAAGAACTATAGAAGCAGGATCTGCTTTGGCATACCTCATGAGAGAAAACATTCAAGAAGCAAGCACTGACAGGGCAGGATGTAGCTCCGTCTGTAGAGTGGTTGCTACCATACCCAAAGCCCGGGGTTAAATCCCTACCATCTTGTAAACTGGGCAAGGTAGCATACACCTGTAGCCCCAGCCCAGGGGAGGCAGAATCAGGAGGTTCAGAATTCAAGGTTATCCTTGTCTACATAGTGAGTCTTGAGGCCAGCCTGGGCTATAGAAAACCATCTCAAACATTATTTTCATCATTGCGAGACAGAAGCTCAGGAGGAAGAGCTGTGCTCAGGAGTAAGGACATACTTAGGAGCCAGAACTGTGTAAGGAGTGAGCATGCTCCCAGGAGGTGGAGCTGTGCTAGGAAATAAGTAAGGTCCACGGAGGCTTCCTCAGGAGGCAATGTCTGAGAAACATGTTCTTTATTTTGGGGAAGAGATCATGAAACTATTACTATAAGAATATGTTCATTCAGAAAAGAGAGGCTGGGATATGGTCGCGTGTGTCTATTATCACTTCGGAGCTAGGCAAGAAGATCATGAGTTTGAGGCCTGGAGAGGGGAGGAGGTTAGGAAGAAGAGAAAGAGACGTTAAAATTTATCCAGAATCCTTCTGTCCACGATCTATTACCGTGCTCTACCTGCCATAAGAGCATGGTAGGGACTAGATGGTGTTTCTCACAGCTCTGGAGGTTAAGACGGTACCTCCAAAATAGGTTCCATTCTGGGGTCTCTTTTCTTGGTTTGTACAGGCAGCTGCCATTTCACCAAGAGCTCGATGACCTGTCCACATGCACTTTTCGCACATGAAGGAAGTACTTTCTGTCCTCTCTTTTTTACATTTGTTTACCGATTTCTAATGTGTATGTGGATATGTGCTATGAAATGCCTGTAAGTGTCAAAGGACTGCTTGTGGGGTTGACTCTCTCCTTCCACACTGTGGCTCTCGGGGCCTGACTCAGATCGGCAGCTTAGTGTCAAGCGTCTTTCCCCACCGATCCAACTCATCAGCCTTTGGTGTCTCTATTTATAAGGGCTCTGAACTCACCCCCATGCTTCTTGAGGTAGCCCTGTTTTGTCGGTTTTGGCTTTTTTTTATTTTTGAGATGGAGCTTTGTGTTGTCCAGACCAGTCCCAAACTCCTGAGCTCAGACGATTCTCTTGAGTACTGGGAGTGCTGCTGTTGCCCAGGCAGGTTTGGAACGAAGCTGGTCACTACACTCCACAGTGGGCAACTGAATGTGTAGGAAGCAAAACCTTGTCAACAGTAAGCAGTTTCTGAACAAGCTGGGGCCAAAAATCTAGTTAAAAATCAAACACGTAATGAATCACGGGTGTCTAGCAGTGCTCACCCGTCTTGTATTGTACAGTTTCACCACGGCCTTGGTTCTGAACACACAACATGCACAGCTTGTATGACGTCACAGCGTGCAGTGCCGTGGAAGCTGCCTGGTACCTCTACACAGATCCGAGACTGTTGTATGTTATAAATATCTGTGTCGTTAGTGCATGTACAAAGCTTTCTGCCTTTATAGTAGTTTATGGAAAAACAAAGATTTTAAATGTGTTCCTAGACTCACCCTCCCTCCTATGGAAGTATGAAATTGGCTTTGGGCTGTTCTATATTAGACAAGCAAGCAGCTCATCAGAGGGAAAATTCGTTTTATCCCTGCCAAACAAATTTAAATTAAGATGAAACTCTTTGTGATTTATCACTAGTAAATGCCTAGTTTGTATGGTTATTGTATATGCCTATATACCCAGATTACTTAAATTTTTCTCAGAAGTAAAAGAGTTATACATGGGGGGGAATTTTAAGGGGAAAAAAAAAATCAGATTGGGAGGTAGCTCTATCACTTAGCAAAACCCAGAATTCAATTCCCGGACAAAAACAAAAACAAAAAACAAAAAAAACAAAAACGTTGGATGACATGATCAGATGTACCAGGCTCTATGCTAAGCAGCCAGGATAAAAAGTTGAGTTTGTCACACTACTGCCTGCCTGCAGAGCTCCAGAACAAGACAGAGCAGAGGCCAGAGAGAAGGCTACCAGCAAGTTAGTCTCAAACTGAGTATATTAGAGTTCTAGTAACAAGAAACGTAAATTTCATAATTCATTGCTCGAGTACAGTCTGCTCAGCCTCCAGCATTAGCTGACAAACGTCTATTGAATCTTGATCATGCGCTGCACGGGTATATACCAAGCACACAAAGATAAACAGTGACAACAAATCTCTTATCAGATGGCTGGTTATATCAAAGTCTACTGTTTTTCTTTCCTTAGCAAATATTAGATTACGGACTACTGGCAGCCATCTGCTTCATTACATAGTTCCTATATGTCTCGGCCGGTCCTTTGCCAAGTCTCAATTAGGGGAGGTTACATTTTAAATTCTTTATTCAATTTTAATTCATCTTTTGCTTTAATCTGCTGAATCTATGTTTTATTGTGGTTTTTTTTTTAACCTATGAAATGTAAGTTTTCTTCACCCACTAATCTATGAAAAAATTTTCTAGATAACCAATTCCTTTGGAAATTTACATAAGTAATAGACAGCACTATATAAAATATATCACTCCATGGAATCTGTATATTGTCATAGACTACCTAAAACAGTGTTTCCTGTCTTTGGGCTTAGTGATATTGTAAAAGCCACGGTAGGTCTGCTACACTGGCTACACCTAATTCTGACAGCACTTCCCAGCCTTAGCTATGACAATCAGCATTGTCATCAGAGGACACAAATTTGGAATTAGAATGACTGCTCTGCTTCAGTTTCAGCCTCACATCTGCAATAGTTTAAATCAAGATTGATCCAGTATAAAGATTAAGATTCTAACACCTGGGGGAAGCTCCAAAAACACATTTTGGCTGCCTGCCCAATTAACCATTGCTAAGTTCTAGTACTTCAGAGGACAAGGGTTTAATTTTTGCCTAGACATTTGTTGATTACATTTTCTTTTAGAGATTTTAATTTTGGAAAGATCAGAATAGAATAAGAAGGAGGAATTTGTATGTAGTGATCTTTGTGAGCAGGGGATATGTGTTCAATGAACATCCCATTGCTATACCACCTATGTTTTGAATATTCTCAAATAAATGGAATAAAGTCTCAGAGGTGCTAATACAATGAAAAAGAAGAAGAAACTGTGAGCTTAAAAACTGACACCAGACATAAAAGCATACCTTGGGAATCCAGCACACATGAGGTGGAAACCCAAGCACCAGAAATTTAAAGTCATCCTTACTGAGTTTGAGGTCAGCTGGGGATTTATGAGACCCTGTCTTAACAATAATAATAATAATAATAATAATTATTATTATTATTATTATTATTATTATTGTAATAATGTGTTTCTCTCTAAAACATGGCGAACAGCACTGGGCATTTTATGATGTTCTCTGCCATGTGGCTTGTAATATTTTTTTAGTTTGTGTAATTTAAGATCTCAACCAGCTGGGTGTGGTGGTGCACACCTTTGATCCCGGCATTCAGGGGGGCAGAGGTGGGCAGATCTCTGTGAGTTCGAGGCCAGCCTGGTCTACAAAGCAAGCCCAGGACAGCCAAGGCTACACAGAGAAACCCTGTCTCGAAAAATAAAAAACAAAAACAGAAACAGAAAACAACAACAAAAAAAAAATCTCAACCAATACCTGACGTTGTTTGTTTGGCCCACCCGACAGGATTTTCTGGAGAAGGCAAGTGCACTTGGCGGCAGGCATCCGGCCTAGCACCATCACTAGCTCCTTCCCCCAGCTCATGTCCAACGTGGATGCGGCTTACGAAGTGGCTGAACGGGGCATTGCTTTCTTCTTCAAAGGTACCTACAAATCCCTCAAGGAAGGAAACCCAGGGCCTTGGTGCTTAAAACCAGTCCCTGGCCTCTCTTCTAGAACAGCAGGCACGCTTCAGTGAGATCCTTTAACATGAGTTGATATCCTGGTACAAAGTCAGGGTTATAACAGCTGGCAGCATGCAACCTTCTGTGATTCCAGGCAACAAACCCACAGGAGTGCCATCTCTGGCTTCAGCCCTCCATTGTCTGAGTAATTCTGAGACATTCTCCAATTGCCATGAGACTTCATTTCTCATCTGCAAGGTGATTGGAATAACACCACTCTTGAACACGTGTCTCAGCAATAGATAGCCAAGAAAAGCTTCCCAGAAAGCACCAGCTGTTGGGTTTTGCTAATACATTTTCCCAGGGAAAAGGGTAGACTGTTGTCAACTTAAGTGAAAAACATCATTGCAAGCCACTTATCCCCTCTTCCTCATGCATAGATAAAGGTGACAGGAGGAAATAAACAAAGGATATATGGAAAACATAAAGGTGTTACGTGTAAGAAGACACAATTGTAAATGTAACTTTTATTGGGCAGATATAATTGTCATCTCAGAGACTTACTGCTGAATAAGCTCACCCTTTCTAGTTCTTTCTGAACTCAGGCTGGCTGGGTCAACTCATCAGCTGTCTGGATCAAACTCCTCTCCAGCTGTCTGATTCAAGCTAGCTTCTCCCGGCTTACTACTGAATTGCTCTGCTTGGCCTCAAACCAACTCTGGCGATTTATTCAAATTTCTGGCTTCTTATTATTCTGGGCCTCTCCTGACCTGCTCTGCATGAACTTCAGGAACTGAACAGAATGCACAAACTCAATGTCACCTCTCCTTCCTGTGCGTTCTCATGAGAGTTGGGTATATCGTATCTCTGACTCATTCTGTCAAATCTTTCTCTGATTTGTCACTTTGTCTGCCCCGCAATTAGACATCACTTCCAAACATGTCGGTTTCCTTCTACAAACTGACTTTACCTTCATTGTTTGGGATTAAAGGTGTGTACCAAGGGTGTGTCTATATTCCAGCCAGAGTGTTTAAAGGTATGTCATTCCAGCTGGATCACACAAACCTAGGTCTTTGGATGTGATCTCTTGCCAGAGCAGACATGTTGCTGGATTAAAATTCCTCTACATACAATCATATCAATATTACTGTTTCTCAAGGTATAAATATAGCCTGGCCTCCAGGGAACTTTGAGGTCTATTGCTGTTTGAATTGAATAACTGGATAGTTATATTCACATGAACAAGCCCCAAGTGTGATCCAGAATAGAGTTAATACACTCACTTCACGTGTGAAGTGTATCGGTGAGCGTTACAGAACCATTGCAGACTCTAACCTTTGTTTCCAGGCCCCCACTACTGGGTCACGCGAGGATTCCAGATGCAAGGGCCTCCTCGGACAATTTATGACTTCGGTTTCCCAAGGCACGTGCAGCGAATCGATGCTGCGGTCTACCTCAAGAAGCCTCAGAAGACCCTTTTCTTTGTGGGAGAGGAATACTACAGGTGCGGCTGTTCGACTTTTTATTCTTTACGTGTATTTGATGGGAAGGGGAAACACTTATGCAAAAACTAAGACGGGTGATTTGACAGCAGGCCTGCTGACTTCTCAGCCACAGGGAAGTCTATACCATACAGAACTGTACAGTCAATCACCTGATTGCCTTTAGGACCAATATCCTAAAATTTCAGTCAATTCATTAACTTGGCCCCAGTGGCCTGAAAGAGTGGATATGGTGTCCTAGGGCTCATCACTGCCCAATAGACATGCCTGAGTGGGACAGACTCCACCGCCACATAGAAAAGATCTTAGGAATCTTTGTGATTTGGGCCAAAATAGAGGTGGTGACAAATGGGGTCCTCTTTGGAGGAGAGTTCTGCTTAAAGGAACAGCCTTGCGAAGAAGTCACTCTGCCTATATTAGAGCATAAAGACTTCTCACATGAGGGTGGCTGTATACAGCCCCATGGCTGTGCTGCAGGAGTCTGCATGAGGCCTGGCCAACATCCAGTCACTGCAGGTAGGGCCGCACCGCAGCTACCTGCTAACGTTCTGCCTTTAGTTGAACGTTATGAGAAGCGAGTGGCTCTCTGCCAAGCACCCTCAAAGACCACGTCACCCTTTGTCCTTGCTTCCATCCTCTCCTTGCTGTTGTTCATCTTCATGAATATCAAACAAGAAGCAAACACAAATTCTAAGCAGGTGGCTGTGACAAACACCTGTGTCCATGCTGGGGCTCTGGAAAAATCAGAGGAGCAGAGCTTTGCTGGGAGGGCTTTCATTTCACTTTATGTGCTCTCTCCCTCTCTCTACGTCTATCTATCTATCTATCTATCTCCATCTATCTATCTCTATCTCCCTGTTTTGGGTTTTTTGAGACAGTGTTTCTCTGTGTAGCCCTGACTGTCCTGGAACTCACTCTGTAGACCAGGCTGGCCTTGAACTCAGAGATCTGCCTGCCTCTGCCTCCTGAGTGCTGGGATCAAAGGCATCACTTTATGTCATCTCTCTTACATAACCGTTCACAAAAGAAATTGACAAAAAAATATTCTTTCCTATCTTCTCCTACCTGACTGATATTTTTGTTCTCAATCTGGACCAAAGAAGGTAACAACACAATTGAAGCATATATATAAATATATATTTCACAAGGGTGTTTTGATTATTATTCTTTATAAAAATCCAAATGTGGACACTGCTGACTCTTCTCAGCCGTGGAAAGCCCTGTAGGCACAGCCCAAAGCACAGTGTATGCCCTGAGAGAACCATGGCTGCAAATCCAGCTCTTTTCCTCTCAGAGCTTTTCCGCCTGAAGCATACTCCTGAAAATCATCAGAGGACATAGCAACATCTTCAGGTTAGAGTGTGTTCCTCGGGCTTTCTCTAAGAGCAGCACTGTGCTGAGGAGGCTGACAGGCTGCCGGTCACCTAATTCCCATGGTGAATTTTCAGTGAAGCAGGTGCACAGACACCTGTCTGAGCATGGGGTGAAGAAGTACATGTGAGCGTTGTTCAGCCGGTTTCTCAGTGTTCGAGTGATGTCACTGGAGAGCTTGCCTGCAGCCTCACATTCTGACAGCACCTACCACAATATTCAGGAAAGTATGGCTGAATGGAAGTTGGGGAGGGCAGAAGTCTCAAGCTCTCTCTGAGTTGGATGTTAGGGAAGGAGAGCTGCTCTGATTTAGTGTTCTCTAATGCCCTTGCTGGAACAGTGTCATGTCTTTCAAACTGGATCTCTGACTATACATTAGGAAGAGTCTTTATTTATTTAGTTTGTTTATTCATTCCACATGGGAAGGCACCATGTGGAGGTCGGAGAACAAGCTGCCAAACTTGCTTCTCTCCTTCCACCATGGGAGTCCTAGGGGTTTAACTCTATCTGTGAGGCCTGGATTCAGGTATGTTCATCTGTTGAGCCATCCCACCAACCCTGGGAAGGGTCTTTAGTAATCTAGATGAAGAGAGTTCCTTACAAGGTCTTTTTACTCCTTTCATTTTCGATGGCTGATTTTTCCACTTCTTTGCTGTCTTTCATCTACCAATCGCAGCAGGATGATAGTATCAAGGGATTTTCATGGGGTGGGAGAGCCAGTGTCTCCATCCTCCTGTGTTATAATCAATGGTTTCTGAATTTATGTGGAGTGATTTACATATCCACAGAACCCACCCCCTTTCCTTCACCAGGGCAGTGAGGACACAGGCTGTCTATATGGTGGGCGGAGGCATCACTGCTAGACAGGATACATCTTCCACAGTCTCCTTTCTGGATGCCTGTAATACTGGAAGATACTTTCATTTAAATGTTTTTGATCAAAGGGCAGGCCAATCAGTTTATGTCAGAGGCAGTCCCTGTCCCCATTACTATGGAACCCACTTGGACACTGAACTGCCATAGACTACATCTGTGCAGGGGTTCTAGGTTATCTCCATGCATGGTACTTGGTTGGAGTATGAGTCTCTGGAAAGACCCCTGTGTTCAAATTTTGGGGTTCTGTTGCTCTCTTTGTGGAGCTCCTGTCCTCTCCAGATCTTACTATTTCCCACTTCTTTCATAAGAATTCCATGCACTCTGCCCAACAGTTGGGGGGGAGCAGCCTTACCAGGCCACAGAAGATGACAATGCAGCCACTCCTGATGAGATCTGATAGACTAGGATCAGAAGGAAGGAGAGGAGGACCTCCCCTATCAGTGGACTTGGGGAGGGGCATTCGTGGAGAAGGGGGAGGGAAGGTGTGATTAGGAGGGGAGGAGGGAGGGGCTTATGGGGGAATACAAAGTGAATAAAGTGTAATTAATAAAAGTTAAAAATATTTTTGAGGTTAGTTACTATAGAATAAAGGTAAAATTAAAAATAAAAGCGAAAGTAAGAATAGTAAAGGAAAATTGAAGTTACTTGGGAATGTCTTAAAATAAAACAAAATTCATTATCAAATCACTTCACTAAACCCAGTTATCGGTTATGAGTGCATCCCAGATGCTCTACTGGAATCTTAATACTCAGAAGAACACAAGAGTTTTCAGCCATGACTGTGTGCAGCAGTGCCGAGGACAAAGCTCAGGAGTAATGCACTTCCTTATCAAGCTGGAACCCTTGAGCTCAATCCCCAGAGTTCTTATGGCAAGGCTGAGGTCCTGAGTTCAATCCCCTGTGTAGCAAACACAAGACAAACAAGAGTCAGGAGCAGGAATAATCAAGTTCACCAGCAATGATCAGGCAATCTCTCCATTTCTTGATTTGTAAAGTAGAGGCAGAAACTGTACTTAATTTCACAGACTCACCAAATTGAAAAAGAAAGAAAGAAAAGAATGTATGATGCCTGTCGTCTGATCTGTACCCATAAATCATCCTACAGCAGAAAGTAGACCTATAGATGAATGATTAACAGAAGTTCAAGGGCAAGAGCAATGCTCATGGGAGACGGTGTGGCTTTCAGGGAGCCAGATCAAAGGGGAAACAGGCAGTGTGGCAAAGGTATCAGGAAAGCATCCTCAGGGGAAGTGAAGGCTGCACCCCTGTGAGGGCTGCGTGGGAGTTTCCCAGGCAGGAGTGGGTGGGAGGAGGTGGCTTCCAGGCAGAGAGCTATTGAAGTGAAAGCACCCGAGGCAAGAATAAGCAGAGTGTGGGGAAACCCACAGGTGATTCATTCATCATGATGAGAATGCCAGCCAGAGGAGAGATGTGGTCCAAGACAAGCAGGGTGGAACAGATCGGGGCGGAGCTATGACTCCACCGACACCCATGTCAACTCTGTAGACAAGGGGGCATTGTTAATATCACGCTGTCAGCAATGTGGCACGACTAGAAAGCAAAGCCACAGAAAGCCTATTCAAAGAAGTAATTCCTGACCAAAAATGTTACATGTGGCAAAGCTATGACTTAAACACGAAGAGGGGCCAGGCACGGTGGTACGCGCCTTCAGTCCCAGCCTTGAGAGAAATGGCCGAGTACATCTATCAGGTTGAGATCAGCCTGGTTTACATAGTAGGTTCCAGGACAGCCAGAGCTTCATAGTGAAAGGCGGTTTAAAAGAGACATGGACTGTGGAGCCTACATAGACAGAAACGGAATATTCTCAAATAAACCAAATCTTAGAGAAACTGTGGCTTGCTCACTTGCCTTACAAAAAAATAATGGAGCTACATATGCTGAGGACAAGTGATCCTATGTAACACACACAATTACATGGCACCAGAAAGTGTAATTATGTAATAACAGAACACTATAAATGTGCTTCCTCTTCTATCTTCTCTTAAATGATTTGAAAATCAAAGTAATTAGCATATATGTACATGCATATATACATGCATATATACATGCATATATACATGCATATATACATGCATATACTCATTCTGTGGCCTATAATAGAGACACACGCACATATGTTTGCCACTGTCGGTGTGGAAGAAAAAAGTGTTCTAAGCTGTGGGAGTGACACCAAAGAATAGCACACGCTCACAGACGGTGTTAAACAAGAAGGCTCCCACAACAACGACGACAAAAGGCGCAGATAAATATTTGTGTTCTCATTCCTCGGTGTCATTACAAAAGACGCGACTATATAAAATTATAGTCATAAAAATCATTTACAGTTTGTAATATATGTTGCAAAATCACAAAAAAAGCATAAAACAGAGCTACTTTAGAGGCAAATCTCCATCTCACTTGGATTAAGGGACCGTACATCTGAAGCTCAGTTTGAGGTTTTGTTTTGAGTTTTGAGTGTCCATGTATAAACGTGTTGTGGTTGTTTATGTACATACAGGTCCAGAGGGGTGTGTGTGTGTGTGTGTGTGTGTGTGTGTGTGTGTGTGTCTGTGTGTGTGTGTGCATGCACTTGGAGGCCGGAGCACAGCCGTAGGTAGATCAGACACTGTCTACCTTTTTCTGTTCTTCAGCCTCGCTGGCCTGGGACTTGCTAAGTAGGACAGGTTTGCTGGCCAGTGAGCCCAGGAGCCGTTCTGTCTCTGCCCTCCTAGCGCTGAAATAATGTCAATGTGCC